GACAATTTTTGTCAATGTTTTCATTGCTTTTATGGAGGAGAGGATTTTCATAGTTTGATTTTGCCATTCCTGATGATGTCCAAATCTTTTCTATATCTACAGAAAATGTTGCTGGGATTGTAATAGGAATTGCATTAAACGTGTATATCAATTTGGGGAGAATTGAAATCTTTACTGGGTTGAGTCTTCCAATCTTTGAACACGGTATGTCTTCATTTATTTAGATATTTGATTTCTTCAGTGAGCGTTTTGTAGTTTTTAGCATACATGTCCTTTGTGTTTTGTGAGATTACACCTAAGTATTTCTTTTCCTTTCCTCTCTCCTTTTCAGAAATAGAGACCTTGGGATTTTCTGCATAGGCAAGCATGTCATGTACAAGTAGGGACGACTTTATTTTTTCTTTTCTGATTTGTATGCCTTTAATTTCTTGCCTTACTACACTGGCTAGAACTTCCAGCACTGTGTTGAATAAGAATGGCAGAAGTGGACATTCTTATCTTGTACTTGATCTTGTGAGGAAAGCAACTAGTTTTTTTCACCATTAAGTGTATTGTTAGCTGTAGGTTTCATATAGATTTTTTAAATCAAGTTTGGGAAGTTCCACTCTTCCCATGTTTCTGAGAGTATTTATATTGATTGAGTGTTGGATTTTGTTAAGTGCTTTTTTTTTTTTTTTTTTTGCATTTATCGATACGACAGTGTCCGTGTTCATCTTTAATTTTTTTTTTTTTTTAACCATCAAATAACCTTAAATCCCTGGAAATCCTTCTTGGCTGTGGCATATAAATATACTTTTATATATTGTTGAATTCTATTGACTAATAGTTTGTGTTTGTGAGGAATATTCTATAGTTTTGTTTTTATACTGTCTCTGCTTTTGGTATACTGTCAGAATACCAACTAGCTTTATAAAATGGGAAGTGTTCCCTCCTCTTCAGTTTTGCTTTTGGAAGAGATTGTGTAGAATTGGTGTTAATTCTTCTTTAAACATACCGAATAATTCTCAAATGACACTATCTGGGTTTTTGAGATTTCTTTTTTGGGGAGTTTTAAAATTATGAATTTTAATAGAGAGCTATTCAAATAATCTATTTCATATTCAGTGAGTTGTGGTAGCTAATATTTTTTGAGGAATTGGTCCATTGTGTCTAAATCGTCCAATTGTGTACATAAAGTTTCTTACTGTCCTTTTGATGTTTGTAGTGATACAGTGATACCCCTGTTGCATTCTTGATATTGTTAATTTCTGTCTTCTCCTTTTTGGGATGCGGGGGAGCCTTTCTAGAGATTTGTTCATTTTATTACTTTTTTTCAAAGAACCAGCTGTTGGTTTCATAGATTGTCTCTGTTTTTCCCCTTTTTAAATTTTATTGGTATCTGTTTGTATCTTTATTATTTCCTTTTTTCCTGCTTGATGTGGGTTTATTTGGTCCTTCTTCTGGGTTCTTGATCTGAGAGTTTTCCTCTTATATATGTACCTAATGCTATAAACTTTCTTTTCATCCCTGCTTTAGCTGTGTCCACCAATTTTGATATGTTGTATTTTAATTTTTGTTTGCTTTAATGTATTTTTTTCCCTTGCGACCACAGTTTTATCATCTCACCTATTGATGGACATTAAGGTTATTTCTGGTTTGGGGCTATTACCAATAAACTGGCATGAGTATTGTACAAGCTTTTGTATATAATATGTGCTTTCGTTTTTTATAATTTCCTAGGAGTAGAATATCATAGTAGGATATCAAAAATATCATAGTAAAATATAATATTTTGAAGAAATTGATAAGCTGTTTTCCAAAATGATTGTTAATAATTTATTGTAGGTGTAATTGATACAAGTTGACTTTTGATGGCGTGGAATTTTTAAAAAATGGTCCTCTACCGTAAGTAATTAGAGAAACACTGCTTAGAGTAGTCTTAGACTTAGGTAGCTACAATGACTCTCCTTACATTGTACAAGATAAAATGATTTGAGTACGGATAGAGTTAGGGTGATGGGTTGTAAAACAGGAATAGTACTCTGATCATAGCACTGATTTTAATTATGCTGTTCATGAAGTATGAGACAAAGTTATTAGCTGAGTGAGTAGAGGGCCTACAGCAATAAAGAACTGAGGAAGGGAGGAGGCCAAGCTGTGAACTCCTTTTAGAATGAGCTCACACATTTATTAGAGAAATGTAATAGGTTTGTCTGGTAGTTTTGAGTTCCTATTTAAGTTTTGTGGCCATGAATTCAAAGTGAGATGAGTTTTTGGAGAGTTTCTTCAATTAGTTCAGCTGCTTGGATACAGACACATAGAAGGCATATAGTTGGGTTTAATAGAGACTGCTTTTTTCCCTAGCTGATGTGACATAGGAATGGTAGAGGGTCAAGAGTCTTTGCAAGGGAATGGTTCTTGTGCTGGCTTGTAGAACTTTAGCAGATTAAAGAAAAGAAATGGAGGGGATAATGGATTGTGAAAAGATGGTAGGGTCACTGGATTGCAGGACCCTGTGGAGTCAAAGAATAGTTTGGATACTACAGTAAGTAAAATGGAAGTAAAGGGGACTGGAAGAATAGGATTGTAGAAATGGTTTTCAGGTATACAATTTGTGGTGCTTTACATGATCTGAAGTAAAACGGTAGGTAGCTGAGGAGGGGTTTAGGAAAAGATGGCTAAAGGAGAAGAAATCCAGGAACACAGAGGCCGAAGAGTTAGACTGTGGGACTTCAACATAGGGAGAGGAAAACAATTGGCATGCTAAATCAATGAATGGAGTGAGGAAGGGTTTTGAGGGTGAGCTAGTTAACACAGCAACAGAGATGATGGGTGGTAAAGCCCGATACCAGTCTTCAAGGGAAATTAAGTGGTGCTTACTTAATGGAGGATATAGTACAGTAGGGATTAATGAGGATTAACACCCTCCCCACCTCTGAAGGATTGTGGCAGGAGGTCACCTTAGAGAGGATTCTAGGGAGAATGTCTTTCAGGAATAGCCAAGTGTCAGAATAAGAGAGAACATTCATGGAAATTGAAGATAATGGGTGATCTAGGAGTTTGTACCTATGGTGTCTGATGTAAAACCCAAGTATGATGGAATTAGTCATGGAAGTTTTCTGGATGAGAACTGCACATGAATTCGAGTTCAGAAAACTTATCCAGCAGAATGGGGTCCCCTGGGCTGCTTCCCAGTTTTTTAAGTCAGGTACTCATACAGATTTCTTCAGTAGCCCCAGTGATTTTTGGTAGCTTGGTGGGTCTCTGTTTTGCTGGGAGAATAAAGGCTTTGTTTGCTACATTTCTTGTCCCCTTTTCATGGAGCCTTCTTCATGTGTTTGGTGATTTTTTTTTTTTTAAGATTTTTAAAAATTTATTTGGCAGAGAGCAAGCACAAGTAGGGGAGTAGCAGGAAGAAGGAGAGGGAGCAGCAGGCTCCTTGCTGAGAGGGGAGCAATCCTGGGATCATGACTTGAGATGAAGGTCAGATGCTTAACCACCGAGCCACCCAGCGCCCTGTGTCTGGTGATTCTTAATTCTGTCCCTATTTATTCCGATTGCCTTCGACCTCATGGGTTCCCTGGCTGGATACTGTGGCTTCTTGTCTCCTTCTTTCTTTTAGGTCCATTGAACATTGTTAACTTTCAATCACAGATATGTATTTTAACTTTCACTCTTTCTGCCTTCTGCCTGTTTGGTATAGGAGGGGGGATTTTGGATGTTCCAATTCATTTTCTTGACACTGTCAAAGTTAAAGTTTCAGAAAGGAGAAATTGGTACCAACCCAAATGTCCAACAGTAGGGAATGGGATGAAATGTGTCATAGCCATGTAACAGGACATTACACAGGTAACAAAATTTTGTTTTGCCAAGGACATGGGAGAAATGAGAAACTGCTCTCAATACATTTTTAGTGATACCATAAAACATATATGTTCCATGAAAAGATATAAGTAGATATTAAAATGTAAAGGTTTAAGGATACTAAGATTATAGATGATTATTTGTTAAAAGTTAGTGTGCTTTTCATATTTCCATATAATGAATTTGATCCTACTTTGGTAAGGGGGAGGGAGAAAGGGAGTAAATAGGACTTGGAGTGAAGGCAGCCTAACAGATTGTGTGATGTGTTATTATGAAATTGTACTTTTTACACAACTAGGATTCTAAACATGTATACTTTTGTGTATGCATGTTTGTCTTAAAGTCTTAACTTTTAGGTGGACTTTGTAAGGTTTTGATAGAAATCTACTGGCATCTTATATGACCTGTTTTTTTTTTTTTTTTTAACAATTTACCTTGAATATGTCACCAAATCTAAACATACAGTTGGAGGATTAATCTCAAAATATTAATTTCAAGTATTAGTAAATAATTTTGTTGAAAGAAAATAGTTTCAGGGGCACGTGGGTGTCTCAGTCCGTTAAGCGTCTGCTTTCGGCTCGGGTCATGATCCCGGGGTTCTGGGATCCATCCCAGCGTCAGGCTGCGTGCTCAGCGGGTGGTCCGCTTCCCCCTCTCTCTCTCCCTCTGCTTACTTGCTCTCACTTGCTCACTCTCTCAAATAAATAAAATCCTAAAAAAAAAAAGTTTGTCTAAAATTGGAAGTGACAAAACCTTTGTTATCATTTCTGTTATTACTGCTTTATTCAAAGTTTGTCATATACATATAAACGCTATTTTAATTGTCTTCTGGTGTGTGATACGAATTTATTTTCTGTCAGTATTTAGAAATCTGTGAATTGGCTTTACAAATATTTTGTTTATTGAGCAAATATTTAATAAGTGCTAACTATATGCTAAGCACTGCTCTCAGTACTTAGGATATTATTAGTGAACAAATAAAGATAACAGGTGATCTGGTAGGAGTAACACTCTGAATTACCGCAGAGTACCTTTTAGTTAGGAAAACACCCATGTTGTTAGGTTGTTTGCATTTTAAATACTATATTACTATAAAAGCCTTATAAAGCAAGAGAGAAAAAAACAGTCTCCTGTACCGTCCTTCTTTGTTTTATCAGATTGAGGAACTGCAGCAGGCATTAACGGTAAAACAGAATGAAGAACACGACCGCCAGAGGAGGATAAGTAACACTCGGAAGATGATAGAGGATTTGCAGAATGAACTGAAGACTGCAGAAAACTGTGAGAATCTTCAGCCGCACATTGATGCCATTACAAATGATCTGAGAAGAGTTCAAGATGAAAAGGCATTATGTGAAGGCGAGGTAATTGATAAGCGAGGAGAGAAGGAGAGCCTAGAGAAGGAGAGAAAGAGTAAGTTTTATGAAACTTAGGGTGAAGAGATGTTTATAAAATGGAGATCTATTTCTGTTGATGGCTTTCTTCTTTCCCTGGTACCATGTCTTTAGCTGCTCAAATCCCCTTGTTGAGGAAGCTCAGCTTGGTCTTTGCAAGTTATGCCTTAATCACCTATAAGTAGCATATACCGTGCTTTGTGACTGGCTAACCATTGCCTTATATATGTCAGATTATGACAGTTGATTTTAATTCTGGAAAAATGGTTTCCTTTACTTTCTTCACAGAGTCACTCACTATTATTTATCAGATCAAATTTAAGCTCTTCACTCTAGTTTTCAGAACCTTCCATTAGCTTTGCCCTTTTGAAATCTGTTCGATTTCATCTTTGCTCTTCTTTCCTATGGACCATGAAAATTGATTTATAACATTCTACAGATGGAAGAAGTTTTAAGTACTAACTACTCAGTGTGTACGACTAAGATCAGTAAAAAAGAAAACAACCCCCATTTTGTATGTTTATCAGAGTTTCCTCCACCTCTTTCTGATCTCCATACCCACTCTCAGGTGTGTGCATTTTTAAATAACTCAGCAGTTTTTTCCAGTTGACCATTATTTATATTTTTATCATGTTATTTCACCATGGCTTGATTGATTAATTTTAGATACTATGTTTTGCTGTTTTGTAACTTGAGATACAGATTTTGGCTCATAACAGTTCTTATCCTATATTAATTCCTCAGTGGGATTAGTAGTATTAGTTACTAATCATTAAGCTTTATGATTGATTTGTTGTGATCCTTCTATCTTGTGTCAAATAGTTGTCAGAAGTGCTTGAATGCACATTTTGTAAGCGGAAATACTCGTACTCACCCTTTTCACTTTTTGCTCCTCTGACATTCTAAGTCCTCTAATTTGTGCTCTGGTTTTTATATCTTCAAGGCTGAAAACATTTATTGAGAACCATATTAAGTTTTATGTGCTCTGTTTATGGGTTAATTCTAAAAGCTAGAAATAGTAAGGATTCTTGCAGCAGTGAGACTTGTTCACAGCAGAGCCGGGTAATGCATTAGGGTGGGATTTCCTTTCACTGATGGCTTTTTTTTTTTTTTTTTAACTTTTAATTTACCTTTAAAAAAACCATTTGCTTTAATATTTCCTTAAAAAGAAAAAAAAATAGGCAGTCCTCTGGGGTTTCTTGGGCTTCGTCACAGATCCTTTTCTGTGTTGGGTAAAGCTATTCCTGAATTCTGTGTACATTTTTTTTTTTTCTTATATTACTTAGTATGTTCTTACATTGTTCCCTTATCTTTGGGTTACCTTATAGGAAGAGATATTTGGGGATTAATTTCAGAGTCTTTGCATCCCTAAAGATGCCTTTATTTCATGATCCTCTTCTCTTGGTTTTGTTGTATATGTGACTCTACGTTGAAAATTTTTCTCTCAGAATTTTGAAGGCCTGTTGCGATCATCTCATGTTAGGAAATGTAGTGTTTTCTTTTCTTTCTTTTTTTTTTTTTGCTTACTTACTTTTGTGACCTCTTTAGTTTTGATAGCTTAAAGAGCATGTTTTATCTCAAGTGTTTGGAAATTTGATAATTTGTCCATGGTGGTCCTTTCTCACTGTGGTGGGTACTTGCTGAGTGGTGTTGCTGACTTTTGCATCTAAGGTATCTTTTGTATTACTAATGGATTCAGTAATTAAAGCTTTCAGAGAACTAATAACTTTACTTTCCCTTTTAGGTGTGGGTGATAATATTGTACGATTTGACAATCTTATGAATCAGAAGGAAGATAAGCTGAGGCAAAGATACCGTGACACATATGATGCTGTTTTATGGCTAAGAAATAACCGGGACAAATTTAAGCAAAGAGTCTATGAGCCTATAATGCTCACGGTAAGAAATTTTGTTCATTGTGGTAGCATCTGTTTCATTATTGTATTTCATTATTGTATTCATTATAGATTTTTTGTTCTAATATAGATTTTTTTTGTTGTTTTAAGAATTCCTAGTCTTATTAACATCTTAGTTTCCCATTATCAGACTTGTGGCTACTGATGTGCTGCTGAATCCATACCTGACTTTTGACCAATAAGTCTTTGGACTTTGTCAGAGTATGGAACTGTCAGCTTATTGACCAAGAATCATGTATAAAATTAGTTCAGTCAGCTAGTTCCTTCTGGCAGTTACTAGATTATAGCAGGCCATAGATTAAATGTTGCCCGAAGGGCTAGAAACTGCTGTAAATAACTATGTCGAGAGGGGTACCCAACAGAAGTTGAAGTCACCTATAAATAATCGTAGGATTCTGAGAATGCAGCCAGCAGTCTTTTGAACACATAAACCTATCTAGCTAGCTCTTTTGATGATCGGGGTCATTTAGAATAGGATAAGCTGTGTTTAGTAAATCATTTAATGAAGTGTGGCCATGGAATGGCTAGGAAGATTTCCATCTAAAATATTTTTAAAAGTTTGGCCGTGGAAAGAGAAAGTAAAGTAAAAACCACATTCTTTGACAGTGATATAGTTAGGTATAATATGAACTTAAAACTTACCCAAAATGACTCAAGGATTGTTATTGCTGGTTTATAGTTGTTTTTTTTTTTTTTTAACTTTAGGAAAGAGTGCACTATAGATCCTTGCAGGATTCATGAAAACTTCTACTTTCTTTAATTCATATTTGTATTATTATTTAAAATCATTTCATGTAGTTGTCTTTTTTTTAATAGATTATATTAGCAAAGTTAATATGCATAATACTGTATTCTCTTCTTGCTCAGGTATGTATTATTAGAGTATTTTTGCCAGATCAAGAAGGGAATATCTATTTTGGATGCAGACATTATTGTTTTGATTAATCTGGTAAGGACTGAAAGAAAATAGAAAAAAGTAGTTTGAGCCTTAATAACTTATAATGCAAGTAATTAACAGATTTTTATTAAAATGTCAACCTCAAAATTATAATTCACAACTTTGGTAAATTTGCCATCCTTTTATCTCCCAATAGTAGCAGCCTGTCACCAACAGGGATTACTAGCTGGCATATATTTATATTTCAAATTACATTTGAATCTTTGAAATAAAAAGGTACAGTCTTGCTTTTTTTATCCTTTCTGGAATACCCTCGTATTCCCCCACCCCAGCATATACACTTAATCCTTCAATATCTAGTTGAAATGTCATCAGTGTAGACAAGTTAGCAATCCATAAACTTAAAATTTTAGCCATATTACTTGTCAACTGTCCATTTCCATGAGTTATTTCTAACCAGCCCAGTCTAGAATGGGAGAATTGTGCAAAGAAGTACTTATAGTTCAGTTCCTCACAGCAGGGTTTATAATAGCCCAAATGATGATGAGGCAAAGAGGAAAATTTCCAGAGAGATGGACTGGTCATGTAAACTATTCTATATCTATTGAAAGGAATACTATGCAGCCATTAAAAAGTCATTCTTGGTGTCTATTAATATAAGAGGACATTTATGATCTATTAATGAATTTATAAAACAGGTTCTAAGATAGATTTTACAGAAAGATTTCATGTTAAAAAACTGAACTACGAGTCTGCCATCAACCACCAGATGACTCTGGAGTACAGTGTCTCTTCTGCCTACCACTCTGTCTTTACTGGGTTGTGAAACAGTGGCCTTGAACTTTGCCAAATATTTTCTTTACCCATCTCATGAGAGGAGCTTGCTAAGTAGCTGGTGAAGCTGCAGAACCAACAAATTGGTGAAATCTTCCTTCCGGATGTCAGGAGGCCAGACTCAGTGCAGAGCAGTTTGCGTTACCTGGGGAAAAAGCAGTGTGACTCAGTCACTACTGGAAGGGCACAAGCTGGGCAGGGACGGAAATGACTCTATTCATGTGACTTTTTGAGACTATTATCTAAATGAGCAGGTGACGTTCTTCAAAGAGTTGAATGACCACATCACCACCTTACACAAGGTGGAAGCCCCAGTAAAGGGGAACTCTGGTAAAGGAGGGATAATGAGAGCCCCGTCTTAGGCCGACTTAGCCACAGCTCTTTTTAAAAAGGGGACTTCTGCAGTCACAGTGGGGTTATTTTACCCTCTAAGTCGTAGCTAACACCCACTTCTCTTTCATTTGTACCATTGCTTCTGATGAAGTAATTGCTACCAAAAAAAAAAAAAAAATTGGAACGATAGAGGCTACATTTCTGTAGTGTTCAAGTTTAGGTATTTCTTGTGACTTACTTTCTTGTGTATCGCTTTTCCCCTGTTTTCGTGCTAGCTGATATTTTGTAGTTTAAAATAGAGAGTAATACTTGCCAATGTGTATATGACAAGCATTGTACTAAAATGTTTTTATTAGCTCTCTTAATCCACATTTGTTCCTGAGATGTAGACTATTGTACTGTGCCCATTTTGGTGATGAACTAACTGAAACTTTCAGAGACTTAAGGGTATGTGATTTGAAGCATCATCTGTCTGACCCAGAGTCTTAGCTCTTCACTAGTAGTATGCTGTGTTTTATATATACGGTACATAAATACCTTCTTTCACAAATCTTTATTTTTTCAAGAAGGCGGATTTCCATCTGCTGAAGATCATCTATCTGCCCCCTAAAATTCCATAAGAGAGCACATTTCATATACCTCTGTTACGGATCTTTATTATAGTGTTCTGCTTTTTTGCTTTTTTTTAACTTAGCATCTGCAAAAAGTATATTGATTTGTTGTCTTGACCTTCTTAGTATTTTCCATAGCATTGAACCTCACATGCAGAAGGGCCTGGTTTGTTAATACTTAAAAAAATAAATCCTAGTGGTACAAGCCTAGGATTTCTCTTGAAAGCACTATTAAAGTTGTATTTTAATTGTGTTTTTATACTGATCAGTTATTGCCATATATAACTTCCTCTTGAAGATTAAGAAGACAAATAGTAAAAGTTTGGGGACAGATGAAAAATGTTTATACTCTTAGATTACCTTCTGAGCCATTTCAGATGTTTTCCAGAGGGTTGACTCGAAAGGAACATAGTTACTTCTTAGATAAAATCAAAATTGATGTGCATCAGGTGCTTATTTAAGTCTTATTTTTTGTTTTATGATGCATTAGATGTTTCTGGGTACTAAATTAAGTAGAGGTTTTAAAATGTTGAGTCTTCAGTACCAAATTTTATCCCCCTTAAGTGTTTTAAATTTAAACTTGTTAAATAACTCAAAGTAAAATTATGTTCTAGTACTCAGTTTGGATTTCATGAGAATTAACTTATATTACTTATATTTTCTTTTTGTTTAGATCAATATGAAAGATAATAAAAATGCCAAGTACATTGAAAATCATATTTCATCAAATGACTTGAGAGCTTTTGTATTTGAGAGTCAAGAAGATATGGAGGTTTTCCTCAAAGAGGCAAGTGACCAGTGTAATACTTTGACTCACCTGGTGCTTACCTTCTGGTACTTCAGTTTTTAAATTCAAACTAAAACAAAAAATAGCAACTAATTATACCAGCAGTAACTTTTGTATAAAATCATTTGATTTTGTGAATTTCTTTTTTTATCTCATTATTGGCGAATGAATTTGTTTTGCAAGAGAAAAAACAGTCCATAATTCCATCTGTAACATGTTTTGAAGTTATTTGGAGTTAGTAAGAATAATTCTGTCATACTGTTTTAAGAGCAAAAAGTCCATAACGATGGACTTTTGGTCTTCGACATCCTTTTTGAAGATGTACTGGAATGAACTCAGCTTTTCTTTGATGGGGAGCGTGGGAATCAATATGTTGTTGCTTTTAAATAAAACCTCTTCAAAAAGAGTGAGAATTCTATATCTGGCTACCGAAACACCCTGGGAGTCTAAGCTACTACCAGGCAATGTGGCTTAGTAGTTACAGGCACAGACTCTGTAGATAGGGTGCCAAGATTTGAATTCTGGCTTTGCTACTAAATTGGGCAAGTTTCCTAAATGTTTTATGCCATAATTTCCTCATCTGTAAAATGTAGATATATGAGCTACTTCAAAAGATGGCTATGAGGATTAAATCCTTTAATAAATGAAAAGGTGTATAGAATACTGCTTATTTGTGATTTTTATTACATTATAATATATATGTGTATATATTCGATATATATATATATATTGTTAGCTGTTCTTATTGTCAGATTTCTTTCCTTTTGTGTATGTCACCTTTTAAAACCCTAAAGATTAGGTTTAGATTTTGTTTCGTTTAAGTCTTTGTCAGCAAGTATAAATGAGGACAGGACCCTGAATTACGTCGGCGGTCCTCTATTTCTGTGCTGCACTAGTGATTGGAAAGAATCCTTACTTTTTTTGGCTTTTACCATATTGCCCTCCGGTTTGGGAGTTTGCAGAGAATGTGAATATATGGTAACTGCATAAAAAGTTGCATGTATAAAATTACAGAATGGACTCCAGAAAGTTAGACAGTTGTGTAGTTTGGTATTATTTAAGCTTAGCCAGGAGTTTTTGTTCTGGTGTGAGAGCTTTCTGAAGAAGTCGCTTTCTTAGATTACGAGTCTGACGTGGCATGCTGTGAAGGGCATTCCGTCAGGTGCATTTGGCTGATATCTAATGTCTAATGTCTAATATCGGAAATGGCCTGCTTAGCCAACACTGAGTGCCTTTTTTGAGTCAAAAACTCGGGCTTCTTTTGTGCTAAGGATATGAATCCTATATGGATAATGTGACCTGGGTTCCTGAAATTTTGACCTTTATTTTTGTGTGTGTGCTCTGATAAGTAACTTTCCGTAGCTTCTCCTCAACAGGACTAGAACTTCCTCTCATAGGTGTGACTTTGTATTTTAAATTGTGAAATTTATCGTATATAACCGCCTCCTACGATATTATCTATTAGAGTACCATTCCCCATACTACCGTGTATAATAAGTATTATGTCTGCTGTGCGGTTACCCTAGATGCCCTTTATCAGGATGATGAAGTTTCCTTCTGTTCCTAGTTTGCCAAGAATTTATCATATTTTTCTGCATCTGTTGGGGTGATCATATGGGTTTTGTACTTCATTGATTTAAGTGAGATTGGTTTTTGGAGCATTCCATCAATCTCACCTTTCTGGAATAAACTCTACTCGGTCATGTGTATTGTTCCCATATTGCTGGATTCCGTATACTAATATTTTGTAAAGGACTTTTGCATATGTATTCATGAGGGCTTTTGTTTGTTCATGTTTTGGTATCAAGATTATGCTAGAATCATAAAGTGATTTGGGAATGACCATTGCACTTCCTCTTATTTTTGGGAAGAGTTTTGGTATTACTGCTTCCTCGACTGTTAGAGCATATTTGTTTTACTATTTTCACTGATAAATACTTTCTGTAAAAACATGTAATAATAGAGTCATTATCACACTAAAAAGTTTGCTTGAAAGTACCATTAAATATCCAGTTTTTGGTCATCCTATCCTATCCTAACACCAGTTGGAATATAACTTTAAAAAATCATTTTGACTGATAGTATATGGTAATTAAAATATATTCTTTCCCTTATATTCAGATTCGTGACAATAAAAAATTAAGAGTAAATGCTGTTATTGCTCCCAAGAGCTCATATGCAGACAAAGCACCTTCAAGATCTCTGAATGAGCTAAAGTAAGTCTTGAAACTATTTTTAGAATTAACCTGTTACTTTGAATATTGAATAACCATTTAGCTCTTAAATATATTATCTCTCACATAAATATGTTATAAGCTATTTATTCCCTCTTAGGATCTCTACTTAAGTCTAAAATAAGGAAAAATTTAGGAACAGATAAACTGTGGAATACTTACTATATGGTGGTGATATTTCAGATCAGTGGATTAATATTGGATTGTTGAATGGAAGATACTAAAATAGTTGGTTAGGTGTTGGGAAAATAAAACAAATTGTCACTTCGTAATGCAGGAGTGATTTCCAGAAGGACTAACTGGAAAATTTGCAATTATGAAACAGTTATAAGTAAATATCTTAATTCTGAATGTAAGTAAACATTCTAAATATAAAAGCAATGGAAGAAACAAAAGATTCATAGTTTGTAATGATGAATATATTAAATTTTTCTGACAAGGAAATCAGTCTCAACATTAATCACAATATTAAGTGATTTTAAAATACACAGAAATTTCTGCTGTACCATCATTAATTTGTATGTTATTGTTTATTTGCCACTTTTCAACTATCAGATTTCTTTACATGATATTTTTTTAAGAAAAATCTAGTAAGTGCTTTTCATTTCAGACAGTATGGATTTTTCTCTTACTTGCGAGAATTATTTGATGCCCCTGATCCCGTCATGAGCTTCCTTTGCTGCCATTATCATATTCATGAGGTTCCTGTAGGAACTGAAAGGACCAGAGAAAGAATTGAACGGGTAAGAAAGTACTGAATCTAGAACCTCATTTTGTTAACACTTCTTAGCATAAAAACATCAAGCAAAAATTTAGAGATATTTAAAGAAGTAAGACATTCTGTTATTTTAAACCACACAGAAATTCTTTGTATTTTACATTTTTAATATACAGAAAACAGTGACTATTGACTAATACTATATGATGGGTGTAAGTGATGTGGAGTTATTTAAAGGAAGCGCTTTAGTTGAAGCCGAAAAAGAGACACCGGTCTTGTTTGGCAAATTGTTCAGACTTTATAATACTGGCTTACTCATTTAAATTCTTGTATTCCAGATTATTTTTCAGAGAAAGTATATGTTAGAATAGTAGGCTGGGTGTAGAACTGTTTTGGTAAGCCCTTCCTTTTTTTTTTTTTTTTTTTTTTTTTTTAAGATTTTATTTATTTGACAGAGATCACAGGTAGGCAGAGAGGCAGGCAGAGAGAGAGAGAGAGAGGAGGAAGAAGCAGGCTCCCTGCTGAGCAGAGAGCCCGATGTGGGGCTTGATCCCAGGACCCTGAGATCATGACCCAAGCCAAAGGCGAGGCTTTAACCCACTGAGCCACCCAGGCACCCCAAGCCCTTCCTTTCTTAAAGCTGCTCCTGACGATTATCTCTGGTATAAATGACCTCCCTTCATAGGATCTCCTTTCCTGGCTAGCATAGCACACACTCGTAGTTCCTATATTCTGCTCATGCCGGGAGTTCTCTCCTCCTCATATAACCAGTCTCCAAGACTCACCTTACATTTGTTGCTTGTCACAGGCAGAAACAGGAAAGAAATCTCTTCATCTAAAGCAGGTTTTTCCATAACACCATTTGGAGTGTTTTTTGCTTATAAGCATCTAGGACCCTGTGAGAGACCCAACTAGTAGTTGTTATATTGAATTTATTACAAAATGTGTTTTAAAAGTTTACCATCTAGTATACCAGTATTCCTAGGACAACTCATTTGTAATTTAGGGACTCTTTTTACTTAACTGACATAAGGTAGAAATGAGGGCTCATTGCCAACTGTTTTGGGGGGAAAAAAAAAAAAAACAAAAAACCCCGCCTAGCTGATTATAGTAAGTTGCATGTGTCTTTGATTAAAAATTTCATTATGGGGAACATTTGAGGAAATAAATATTAGGACTTGCATGTGGGTGTACCTCTCCTGTCATTTAGAAAAGAAGACAAGACCATATATGTGTATAAGACCCTTTATGGACTTGTTCTGATTAATTTCTAAGACTCTCCCCTTCAGTTAAATTGTCTCCTGCCAGCCTTTGGTCATGATGTCTTTTTTGTTGGGAGGGCCCTTCCCTCACCGTTTCTGTCCATTTAAATTTATTAGAACTTGAGTAGCCTAACTTCTTGCTTTCTTTTCATTCCAAATTATTCTGCAATTTGCGGATGCCAGCTTATACCTTGTTAAGTGTGTGTAAATATGCCTTATCTCTTCACTTAGACTATAAACTTCTGGATAGAAACAAGCCACAAGAGTATTGATAGTGAAACTTCAGAGATTAGAAAAAACTGTGTTATGAAAGCCTGTTCTTCATTAGTGTCCAGAAATATATAAAATAATGTTATTGTCTTCAGAATGAGCTTTAGTTCTTGGAACTTCTTGTCTAAGTTCCTGAGAGAGACTTAAAAATGCAAAAAAATAAAAAATTTGAGATCCTTTAAGTGTTTCCAGGAATTAAATATGATTATGTGTCTGTGAACAATATAACTGAGGGAAGGTGAGAATCCGTGACTTAGGTGAGCTACCACAGTTGTGTGTTCTGGGCAGCTGGTTGCTGGTATCTCTTCTGTAGACCCAACAAAACTCCAAAAGGACACTTACTTGGGAGAGATTATGTAGTCAAATAAAGGTATAGTCACTTTTGCCATCGTTGTTTGGGTTTTCTCCCTTCTCTCTTCTTTAGAGTTTTCCAAAATGATAACCTGAAGTGTATCAGTCACCTTTTGAGAGATGTTACTGGAGAAGTTAAAAAAAAAAAATTGAAAGCACATCTGTTTTGATCTTCTAAAATTCACTTGATCTGTATTTTCCAATGCCTCAGTCCTTGTAAAAATATTTTCACTAAATGTACACTAACACTTGTTTGACGTTGTTTGACTTCTGTGCCAGGTAATACAAGAAACCCGGTTAAAACAAATCTATACAGCAGAAGAGAAGTATGTGGTGAAAACTTCCATTTATTCAAATAAAGTCATTTCCAGTAACACATCCCTAAAAGTAGCCCAGTTTCTCACAGTCACTGTGGATCTTGAGCAAAGACGACACTTAGAAGAACAGCTAAAGGTTGGTTATTTTGAGTATTAAAAAAGAATATTAACTGGATTTGTAATACTTTAACTAGAATTGTTTTTAAAATAACAATTTTGAATATTTTTGTAGGAAATTAATAGAAAATTACAAGCAGTGGAAGCAGGGTTGATTGCCCTCTATGAGAGAAACAAACATCTAGAACACAAAGACAATGAACTTAGACAAAAGAAGAAGGAGCTTCTTGAAAGGAAAACCAAGAAAAGACAACTGGAACAAAAAATTAGTTCCAAACTGGGAAGGTAGGATTCCGCCTCTTTGGGTAGCAGGGTCGGGGGTGTGGGGTGGCAGGGCACTCTGAGGGTATTGTTATTAGTTACATAGCCCTACCTTGTTCTGTTGTGCTGTGCAGGTGTGCCTAACACATTGAAGGTTTGTGCGGCCCTGTGTCAAGCAGATCTGTTGGCACCATTTTTCCAGTAGCATTTGCTCACTTTGTGCCTCTTTATCACATTTGGTATTCTGACAATATGTGTGTAGTGATCAGGACTCTGAAAGCACAGGTAGTGGTTAGCATATTTTAGCAGTGAAGTATTTTTTAGACATAACACGGTGACACACTTAATGGACTACAGTATACTGTAAACAAAACTTATATGCACTGGGAAACCACAGAAGTTTTTGGACTCCCTTTACCGTGGTCTGGAACCACAGCTCCAGTATCTCTGACGTGTGCCTGGACCCTGTCATGATGATGCAATTCCCACAAACACATTTTATCCCCCCAAAATTGTGTGTAGGGCAAAAGTTGGTGAATCTTAAGTGGCGTGAGTTTTCCTGTCCTCTGATTAGCTGTTTTTAATCCTTGAACCCCTTTCCATGCTTAGAAGTTTTGTTGGTACGGTTTATATCATTGGTATTTACCACATCAGTAATTAAAACTGGGGATGTTTAAAATATTTAGGAAAAACCATGGTTTTCTAAACAATATGTTTAGCAGAAAGAGTGGTGTTGTTTTACATTTATATCAGTCTCTTTAAATGAGTGCTTTCATTTCATATCTGCTCACTTTCAGTCTCTTGTGAGAGGTTGCTTTGAAATAGATGAAGAAAACATGGCCTCACATAGATTTGTAGCTGGGAAAGGAAGGAGTACTTTAATAGACTTTTCAGATACTTGTCTATTGTCTTAATACTGTATCACAACCTGCCAAGATGCAGTTTGTTGAAGTTCAGTTGCTCTGTGAAATCTGCATCAGGGAAGTAGGTTACTCTTACGTTAAAGTCCATTGCACTGTAAGTGGATCTTTTACATGATGTCATTTTGTTACATCATGCATCAGTCCTTTAGAAAATGTTGGTCTTTCATATGTTGACATATTTTATTGTGTAATATAAAAAAATAATGATGTCGATTTCCAGTCCCATCAGAAGAATCTTTTAAGAATTGGGAAGCTGTCAGGCTCACAGTGGTAGACACAAATTCCTCAAAAATATAAATTGCACGTGAAATTTGTTTATCATTGTTGACAAATATTGGCAGTTACTTTTCTTGAAGTGATAGACTCGCTTGTTCACTTTGGGTGGGGGGAGTAAAATCTGCCAAATACTTAAGTCTAAATAACGATAGTTTGTCTTCTTTCATGAAATAACTTTTTTTTTTTTTTTAAGATTTTATTTGTTTACTTGACAGAGATCACAAGTAGGCAGAGAGGCAGGCAGAGAGGGAGGAGGAAGCAGGCTCCCTGCTGAGCAGAGAGCCCGATGCGGGGCTCGATCCCAGGACCCCGGGACCACGACTGGAGCCGAAGGCAGAGACTTTAACCCACTAAGCCACCCAGGTGCCCTAACATTTTTATTTGAAAGAATAATCTAGTCCAGCTCCCAACTCAGTCACACAAGTGCTTTTCTGTGAGGCAACCATCATACTTCGGTATGCGTCGTAAGTACTGTGTGCTTTCTGTTTCGTCACAAGGACTATTAAAAAGATACATACTCAGTTTCCACTGGGAGGTGGTTCAAGATGGCAGCATGGGAAGACGCTGAACTCCCCTCCTTGCACAGACCCAGCAAATCAACAGCTACATAGAAAATGTTCCTTCTGAAAAAGACCTGAAAACAAACTCAGCAGCTCTTCTGTAACAAAGGATGTAAGGTTCACAGCCAGAAGGGTAGGAACTACAGGGACAGGATCTCCTGCAAAACCCTGCGCCTAGCGTGACCAGCACTTGGGAAGGATATCACAGAGACAGAGTTGTTTCCTGAAGAGCAAAGAGTTTGTGCCCCATGTCAGGCACCCCCAGCTCTTGGGACCTTTGCCAGAGAGATGAGTCCCCAAAATGTCCAGCTTTGAAAACCAGTGGGGTTTATACACAGGAGAACAGCACAGCAGTAACGACTGGATTTTGCTCTTTTTACGGTTCATGCAGAGACTCACCACAGGACCCTGAGCAAAAAGCAGCAGCACAAAAAGTGCTTAGGCCGTTTATGTTGGAGGTTCATTTCTCGTCTTAAAGCATCTGCCCAAGGAGGGCGCCTGGGTGGCTCAGTGGGTTGAGCCTCTGCCTTCGGCTCAGGTCATGATCCCAGGGTCCTGGGATCGAGCCCCGCGTCGGGCTCTCTGCTCGGCGGGGAGCCTGCTTCCTCCTCTCTCTCCGCCTGCCTCTCTGCCTGCTTGTGATCTCTGTCTGTCAAATAAATAAATAAAATCATTTAAAAAAAAAAAAAAAAGGCATCTGCCCACAGGGTAGGCGCCTAATGGGAATCCCTCCTGGGACACAGGCACTGGTGGGCACCACTCTGGTATTCTCCCTCTAACCTGCAGTAGGTGTGTGGCACCCCTCCAGTCCCCGCCAGAGCTGGGCACCCAAGGGTCTGAAACAATCTTCTTGGCAGATTACTATCCCCAGGGTACTTCACAGACAGCGGTCTGAAACTATCTCCAGTCTGCCTCTGAAAAAGACCTCTTTACTTGTCCTAGAACTTCAGTCTCAGGGGCTTCAGGATTACCACATATCTATAAGCTACGAAATTGTTCTCAGGGAACATGATCCAGGAGATGCCATCTTTGTACTTGGTTGGCCTTGCTGAAGCTCACCAGTACCTCCCAGAAAGGAGCTCACTCCTGTGGAGCCCTGATTTTCCCAACAGTTTCCTAGGGGACACTTCCAGGTTGCCTGGTCTGTTGACCAGCAGGGTATATGATGGTCCCATAGGACTGGATCTATATTTGCGTGCCTTAAAAGCTGCTGCCTGAGGGTCCTAGCTTCTGGCTTCTCTTCCACCTGAAACTAGGAACAGACTGAGATTCCTTCCTCTGGAACACTCTCAGGACTTGGCACTCTCTCAGCAACTGGGAGCTGGCGAGGGTGAATCAGGCTGCTCAGACCCCAAAGGTTCACATCACCACCGAGCCAGAGGAGGTTTGAACGACAGGGTTCACCTCCATGAAGCCATTTCAAGACTTGAGGATTGTTTAATCTGCTGCTTAGAAACCAACACAGTGTCAAGCGAAATGAAGAGTATGTTCCAAATGAAAGAACAAGGTAAAATACCAGAAAAAGAACCATTATGAAATGGTGGTAATTTACCTAAAAAAGAAATCAAAGTAATGGTTATAAAAATGTTCACTAAACTTGCAACCGTAATGAACACAGCAAGAACTTCAATAAAGAGAAAGTATAAGAAAGTACCAAACAGACTTCACCGAGCTGAAGAATACAGTAACTGAATTAAAAAAATACACTGGAGGGTTCCAACAACAGACTAGATGAAGCAGAAGAAAAATCAGTAATGTGGAAGCCAGGGTAGTAGGATTCACCCAATAGCAAAAAGAATTTTATTATTTTTTTTAGAGAGCGCATGTGTGTGAACGGGAGTGGGGGTGGGGGGGTAGAATGAGAGGAAGAATCTTAACAGGCTCCACACTCCGCGCAGAGCCTAATGTGGGGCTCAGTCTCATGACCCTGAGAATCATGACATGACCCGAAATCAAGAGTCGGACACTTACCTCAGTGAGCCACCCACGTGCCCCGAAAACAGAATTTTAAAAAGTAAAATAGCTTAAGGGGCCAATGGGACAACATCAAACAGAATAATTTCACATTATATGAGTTACAGAAGGAGGAAGAAAAAGGAGCAGAACACATATTTGAAGAAGAAATAACAACTTCCCTAACCTTGAGAAGGAACAGACATCCAGATCCAGGAAGTGCAAAGAGTTCACATAAGAATAAATGGAAATCTGTTATGCAGAAGAGCACTGATTTTTTTTTTTACTGAAAACAAAGCACAGTCAGATGCCAGTGACATTTGACAGGACCGGAAACCAACATCCCTCAATAATGAAGAATTTACACAATTAGTGTTTGAGGCTTTTGATGTTTGTTTTGTTTTTCAGCCATCATGACATGACTGATGGAAGCGTATTATTTGTGTCTGAGAGAATATAACTTCGTTGCTTCGATATTTACCATTTGATCTTGTGGATCAAACTATTTTATCCCAGAGAGGGAACATTCACTGGTTTAAAAAAAAAAATTCTCTACCCATCTGCTGGAAAGTGACTCATTAACACTAGAGTACTTAATATCAGAATTCTGTTGTCACATGCTTTGAGGAAGCATATGAGACCAAGAGAGTCATGTACCTATGAATATGTGTAATTTATGGGAAATTTCCAATCAGTAAACAGTGTATCCACTTCAGCAAAGAATGGTTTCAGAGGAACTATACAAGCACAGATAGGCCCTAATGTGGTTGAGATTGTATTGCAGCCACTGTCAGATCAGCTACAACTTAGTTCATCCAGGATGTGTACTGTCAAAGAGCTTAATGAAGAGTTTTAGACATCTAGACGTAGTTTAGAATTTTATTGCTAGGTACTAGGAAGTACCTATGATAGGACATTTGAAGTTCTATGAACATCCAGTTATAATTATCACATGATGGTCCAGAACATTTGCCAGAAATGTCACGAGCACTTAATGCAGTTTGGGAAAAGCTATGTCCTGTTAATACACGTTTCTGAACAAAGGACCACGGCAGATTTGGCTTCAGACTCACTGTATCATTGATCTTCAGTAGAATTCAAGGCCAGAGTTTTTGTTTGTACTCACCTCATACTAAATTATGCAGAAGTTAGGGGTGATGAGTACTTGGCATTGAAGACTCTCTTCCTGAGACGACTACTGACAAAAGCCAAGATTCTGGGTCTGATAATTGTATAGACCCAGTCAAGCCTCGAGAAAGCATTGGAAACCCCTTCTGCTTCCTTCCAGAATTCAACCCCTTCTGCTTCCTTC